TCGTGAGTTCGTGCAATGGTCGTGCAAGGTCGCCAAAGTTCCTGATGAACATTCGGTAGAAGTTGGCGAATCCGATGAATCCTCGCACCTCTGTCGTCGTTGTTGGTCGTGGCCATGTTTTGATCGCTTCGATCTTCGCTGGCTCCATCCTGATTCTGCCAGGCGAAATTTCGTATCCGAGAAACACTGTTTCCGTAACATGGAATTCGCTCTTATCCTTGTTGACTGACAATTTATGCTCGTGGAGTGCGTTTAGCACTGCCCTCACGTGTTCCTTGTGTTCCTCGAGTGTTTTGGAGAAGATGAGGATGTCGTCTAGGTAACAGACTGCGAATCGGTCGAGGAATGGGCGGATCGCATGATCAACGACCGCCTGGAAGGTTGCCGGTGCGTTTGTCAATCCGAAGGGCATTACGAGGTACTCGTAATGGCCGTAGGGAGTGCGAAACGCTGTCTTCCATTCATCCCCTTCCTTGATGCGAATGTGGGCGTACGCTGTTGGAAGGTCGAGGCGAGTAAAGTAACGGGCGCCTGCCAACTGGTCTCGAAGCCGCGAGATAAGTGGCAAGGGGTACCGGTTCTTTACCGTCTCTCCGTTCAGCTGTCGGTAGTCCACACACATCCGAAGCTTCCCATCCTTCTTTGGAACGAATAGGACTGGGTAGCCCGCCGGTGATGTCGATGGTCTGATATGCCCTATCTTGAGATTCTCCTCAAGATATCTCCTTAACTCAGCATCTTGTTTTTCGTTGGTGTGGTACACCTTGAAGAACTTCAATTGGGCTCCTTCCTTGAGTTTGATTTCGTGATCCCAAGGTCCATGGTCTGGTAGCCCCTTAAGATGCTTTGCTTCGAACGCCGGGTGTCCTTGGTATTCCGCTGGGATTTTGCCCGTTTCCGCGTTCTTCTCTGTACTCCGGTAGTACGAGAACTTGTCTCCGGCCGTGATACTGGCCGCTTCCCTCCAGGTGACCCAATCCTGGAATTCAAATTCTCCGGTCTCATCGATTGAGATGACAGCGATTTCGATGTCGTCTGTGTCTCTCTGAGCCGTGCGAGGGCATCGTCGCAAGTGGCGTCGTCTCTGGCCTGGTCTTGCCGATTCCCGCTGTTCTTCCTGGTGACTGCCGCCTCTTCCTGAGTCCGTAGTGCGCTGCCTGGCACTGTCCGTCTCTTGCGGTGGATCCATAGGGGCCGCCTTCCGGGGCGATCTTCCCTGCTGCGATCCGTCGTCTGCGCTTTCCATCTCGTTGGTCGGATACGGCCTCTGTTCCCGAGGTCGTAGGTGGCCACCTCCCTTCCAACTGATGTCTGGGTCGTAGTCTCGATGCCATGGGCGTCCTAGAATCATGTCCTTCTTAGGCCCCATTTCAACAATGTCAAACACCACTCTGGTGGTTTTCCCTTCCACCGTGATCTCAAGTGGTTCCGTTTCCCGTCGTACCCATTGGGTGTCGAATGGTCCTTTAACGATGTGCTGTTTCTTCTTGATCCTCCACGGGATCCTAAGTCGATTGACAAGTGTTGGCGAGATGAGGTCGACCTGAGATCCTCCATCTACCAGTGCCAATGTTTGGAATCCTTTCCAGTATGCCATAACCCAGATTCTGTCATCGGGCTTGTCGTTCTGAATCGCAGCGGCTTCCTTTTTGCTCGCTGGGAGGTCGTAGATCCTTTTCCTTGCGTGGTTCTTCCTGCACCCGCGGATCTGTCGTTGTTGTGATGGATTTAGTGGTTTCCGGGCCCCTCGGAGGGCCCTGAGCCGTTTCCCAACTCCGTCCTGGCGTCTGGATAGGCGTCCCCATCCTCCTGTGCCTCTTGGTTGCCGTCCTGCGGTCCAAGTCTCGGGAGTTCTTCGAATAATTGTCGAATTTCGTTGGCTCTTCTTCCTTCCTCTCGTCGTTCGCGAGGCGTCATCCATCTTCGTGTATGTGTCTTGCGTTCGTGATGTTCTTGGAGCTTCGCTTGCATATGGATTAAGCAATCCTGGCTCTTGCACTGTCGAGTGCTATTGGGCCACCGCTGGCAGTCTTCTGGCTGGGTTCTTCGCGGTGTCACCCTGATTCTGTCGTATGCGTTGGTCCTTTCGACCTTCCATAGGGACTGGTCGGCGCCGGTCCCTGCGTCCCAAACCCACGGGACTGGTCGAGGTTCTCCGTTTTGGTCGGTAGGCCTGTCGGGCCAAAAGTCGTTGTCGAATTTTGATCGAAAATGGTATCGGCATTCGTGCGCGATGCACTGGAACCATGGGACGTAGACGTGGTCGTATCGCTGGGGTTGGAGTCGAAGTGCGTCTTGTTCGTGGGGTTCGTAGCGCGGGCCGAATCCAATCCAGATGCGTACCGCGTTGCTGTCCCCGACGCCGTTGTACGGCTTCTTATTCCAAAAAGTGTCCCAATCTTGTGGTTCCTGCCCCTTGAGTCTTCGCTGGTTCTGGGCCTTCTGGTATTCAGCCTCGGGGTTCTTGATTCCATTATTCCCCCTGCCCTGGCTTAGGTCCTGTGCTGGTCCATCCCACAAGTTCGAGTGGTGCTCTTCCTGGACCCTGACCAACTTGGCCTTGACGAATTCTAGTTGGCTCATGGCCTGAGCCTTTTCTTCTGCGAGTCTTCGGGTAATTGTTCGAAGCTCGGCTTGTTCCTCTTCAGCCTCCTGAAGGCGCTGGGCGAGAAAGATGGGGTTCGGGCCAACGGGTTCGTTGTCCGATTGTCGTGTCCTCCATTGACCTTCTTCATTCTGGGTCAACTGGAATCCCCAACCTTCTGCGAGTTGTGATGCTGCGGCGGCGGCAATGTCGTAGCCTGTGATGGGTTCTTCGAACGTAACGTGGGGGCTATTGCTTCCTGACCGAGAGGAGTCATCGATGCTTCCTTCAGCCATGCCTCGGTCAACTGCGTCGTCGAAGTCATCCTCGGTGTAGCTTGCCGCAGCCACTTCAACCACGCGGGTTGACTTGTCGATCGTGGCATTTTCCTTGCCGGGCACCTGCTTCCAGTTCTTCTTGCTGCGGCACTCCCGCTTGAAGTGCCCTTTCTTGCCGCAATTGAAACAGGTGGCCTGGGACTTGTCCTTCCGTCCTTTATCCTCACGCTGGGTGGCGTCCACGTCCATTGGACCAGCGTGGGTGCCATGCGACGTGCTGGGGTACTGTCGCTTCTTTTTGTCGTTTGCCTTGACGAATGTAGGCTGCGTTCCGCGTCCCTTGCGCTGCTGGCGCCTGGCATAAATCCGGTCGTCAATGCGGATAGCCATGGCGATATATTCGTCAAGCGTGTCGGGTCGGTCCTTTTGATACAGTTCATCCTTGACTTCTTCCTTCAAGCCATCGTAGAACAACTGCATAAGACCTTCGTCATTGATCTCGCACCGAAGTGAATCCTGGCGGAACTGCATGGCGTAGGCAGCCGCCGACTTTGTCTGCCTCAGGCGTGCGAGTCGCTCCTGCGCGTGGAGCTTCTCATCATGGTCTCCGAACACCTTCTGGATTTCCTGTTCAAATTTGTCGTATGATTTGAAAATTTCAATGGTGAAATCGTCCTGAGCGTCCGCACTGTTGGTTAGCCAATCCTTAAGGGTGGGTTCAAACCATCGAAGTGCCTTCCCCTCGAGCCGCGAGGAGATGAACATGACTTTGGCGGATTCGTCCGCAAACTTGTCCGGGTAGTACTTGAGGTAGGCCCTCATGGATGTAAGGAATCCAGCGAGTCCTTCTTTGTCGCCTCCGTACTTGGGGGGTGCTTCGAGTTTGGCTTTGTCCTTGGGCTTGCCGTTGTAGGCCTCGTTGACGAGCTGTTGCATATGGCCGTTTTCGGCCTCAAGCTGGGCGATTTTGGCGTTGAGAGTCTCGAGAGCCTGCTGCATCTGTCGCATGGTTGCGGCCTGGCTCTGGGATTCCGGGGTGCTAGGTGTCTGGGGCGCCATGATGGTCGGTGGTACCTTCGATCTGAACCGTGACAGAGTCAAAGGGAGTGAGCAACGTGTGACGAAACCACAGGCAGTCCTGCCTCTGAAAGGGTTCGCCGGTCGAAGGTATCTGCTGGTCGGACTGTAGGTCTCGGTGAAGCCAAAAGGTTCACAACAATGCAAGTCGCAATGTCTGCACAGTAATGTAGGGCTACTTTACTGCTTGTAATTGCTCACTGAGGAAGCTAGCTATCTGAATGAGAGGCAGAATGGTAGAACTATATACAGCTTCCTCCCCTAGGTATCCCGTACCTAGATCTCTGGAACATTTGGAACAATTGTCGTTCCCATTGTTCCATCTGGAACAACGTTCCTTGGCGTTGTTCCCCAGGAACAATCGTTCTTGGCATTGTTCCTGATTTCCCTAATCCTCATTGGTTCCTTCTTCCTCGTAATGATTGGGTACGGGCGCCGCCCGTTGACCATGCAGGTCGGCCCCCACCGGCCTCTGCAGGTTAGTTCATGACAGTGGCCCTCCTTCAGGCAGAGAACGCTTTGCTCCGCAAGGCTAACGAGGCGCTAAGCAAGCGCCGGAGAGCTAAAAGAACACGCGTGCAGCTTGGAGGATCACTTACTATATAGGAGGCACAAGAGGTGGTAAGTCAGGGGGCTATAGGTAGGGAGGCAATGCAAGAAACATAGCTAGATAGTGGTGGTGCCGGGGTGGGTTGTACAAAGGTTCAGTGCTGTAGTGTGTGCGGCAAGCCTGGCCATAATGCCCGCACTTGCCAGGAGGATGTAGAAGGATCTGATTTATCTGTTTCTGATGTAATTATAGTTAGTTGCTAGTGTTGTTATATTGTAATTGAAGATGGTGTTCGTAGGGTAGTAGGGAGTGCGGCGCTCGGTGATATGCGGCGCTCGCTGATAAGATACGTTATATAATGATTCATCATACCAAGTGGTAATTCATTATGCATGTTCCATTACATCATGCATGCAAGCTCAGACCTACTCGCATCCTGTATCTAAAGCCTACCTTGCAGTCTCGAGGATTTCTTTCCTCCTGCAAGTTCAATATTCTTGCAATGCAGTCAGTTTACCACCAGAGGCTTGACCCTGGCCTTGAACGACGGCCCTCGTAACAAGACCAGTATTTTCCCTTATTAGACTTGGCTATATCGGAGACGAGTTTCGCTAAATCTAGGTTACTGTCTAGCTATAATAGGCTATATAGGTAAAGGGCCCTATAATCGTTAGTCTCTATAGTAATATAATAATAACTAACGTTCTTATAAATGGACAGCCGTCCAAAACGAATATAATACTCAAAGAATAGAGAGATCTTACGGAAGAAGAAGAGCATCGAACTAAGAAGGTCGTATATCGAGAGCATCGTCGCCTATAGCGCTGTAGTCAGTGCGCGGTGGAAGGCTTTAGCGGCCTTGTTATCTCGTCCCCTATACGCCGCGAGCTTCAGCTTCACGGGGTTGTTGATGTCGTTCGGGTTAAGCGTAAACCAGATGACTATAAGGCCGAATGCTACGATCATGGACCAGATCTTCTTCCGCATCGATAGGCGGCTCTCGTTTGACATCGGGTGCTGGTTACCGTAGAGCGGGAGCTCCTTTATGAGCGCAAGGACGTCCTCGTCAGTGGCCTTTCCGGTCTCGGACATCTCCTTTCGCGCTTCTTGCAACCGCTCGGGCGTTAACCTCCGATGCGGATGTTGACGAAACGCCTACCATTCCAAGCATGAGTATGCCTCCCATTTTTCAGGCCTGATGCTACGCTAACTGTCGATTCAGAGACCGATAGCGTCAATAGTGGTTCGGACACTGAGCAATTGCTTGACGAACAACTCGCTTCGAGTAGAAGTACCTCAACGAAGAAGAGGAAGGTTCCAAGCTCTCCCGAGCCGATTAGGAGCAAGAGGTCCACGGCAGGAAGAAAGAAGCCGCGGCCGTATGACTAGAGCTTAGCATGAATCTAAGACACCATTTCCCTGATTTCTCTGAATTCTGCGGTGGCATACTCGAATCTACAGGCCTGGTGCAGCCAGGGACGAACTGCACCGGTGAGTTCCTCCAGGCTTCCTTTGGCGGGCCGCGCGAAGCGGCACGGTCTCACTTGTTGCCCCAGTCGGAATAGGCCTCGCCTAGAAATTGTGTCAGGGCGACCTCGTAAAGGAAGTCAAGAGAGAAGGCTCCCCAGCGCAGACACTGATGATACTGTGAGTCGTTGATGGCTTGCTAGTGACTCGACCACTAATGCCGTCAATTGTAGTCAAGTAGTTCCTTGTGAGCGGCGATGCGCCGGAGGATCAGTATAGTGGATGCCTTCGCCACTCACACGACCTGATCGTTCCCCAACTGCACCTTGTGTGTAGCTCGTTGCCAATTAAACCCGCGATTCTGAGGCTGATCTGCCACTAGGTGATGACTGCCTAGCTAAAAGAGACCGTGCCGTCTTGAGCCTGAGCCTTCGTATAGCTGACACCATGGACTTTAAATCCTTGCGCATTGAGAAGGGTAATGGTTCCACCCTGGTTGTTGAGCGGAGCATCTGGCACTTTGACTATCACGGTGCCCTTGGCAGCAATCTTCTGGGGTGCTGGTAGCTCCTGATCCTCTGTAGCCTCATTACGAATCTTCCACCCGCTCAAGTCCTGCTCCTTATCCTTCCGGTTGGCCAGCGTGACGGTCTGGGGAGGGGTCCCCGGCTGGTTATCTCGCCTCAGTGGGTTGACAAGCGCCCGCGTGATAAACACCGGCGAGTCGTCGAGGTCATATTTGGCTCGGGACCGGTCGTCGAAAGCACTCTTGGGTGCCAAAAAGTTCGCCCACGTCATATATCCGGTCCGTGGCAGTGGCTGGCCGGCTTCGTTGGGACCATCCTCGGTATGGACGGCTTGCGATGCGAAGCCGATGAAGATGGCCTCCCAATGGTCCTCGAAGTCGAGGATAAGAGCGCCGTCCTGGAAAACGCCGTTTTCCCACCCCCAGCGTTGCGGGTTCCCCTGATTCATGTGTACGTTATGTATACCCTTGCCATTGCTGAACTGAGTACCATAGATGTACACTGTGGCGCCCGCCAAGATGGCCCGGTCCAGAATGGGTTTCAGCTGATCAAGAATGTCGTTGTTTGGGCCGTCAACGTCATGCGGAAGGATGCGGCCGTCGCTCCGGCGGAAGAGGTTGCTACGGATGAAGTCGATCGCAAGGGTCCCAGGCCCCTGCTCCGATGTGCCAGCAAGGCGTCGGAAGCCGTTGTCGAGCGCGGCGAGCTTCTGGGTGATGGGATGAGCGAATCGAGGGACCGTCCAGTATGCGAGACGGGACTCCCGGCGATCGCCCGACTTGATATTGATAGCAGCACGACCCTCTCCGTCCTCGTTGTCGGCAAAGTAGAGCGAGAGATGTGGCGATACCGAGTCTTGATCCCTATCTTCGTAGGTGTAGCGGATAGGCCTTGCCTTCCAGACACCATAACCTTTAAGGACCATTGCGGCAAGTGTTAATAGTCCAAGTTGGAGAGTTTAGACCGTATAGGATATAGTGAGCACAGAATAATCATAACGTTCCTTTACCAAAGAGAAGAGTTAGAAGAAAAGACGCACGTATATATAGTGCGTAAGATCATCTGACTCTTGTAACGGAATAAGCTCTGCGGTAGCCTGTTGCAATAGACTTGCTGTCGTCATCACCACCATCGTCGTCATTACCATCATCATCACCACCATCATCGTCATCGCTACGTCATCACTACCATCATTTATCATCATCATTTATCATCATCATCATAATCATCATCATAATCATCATCATCATCATCATCATCATCATCATCTGTCATGATCATCGTCATCATAAGGATAACTATATGATATGTAACGTACATAATAAGCGAGTGACCCAGATGTGACGGTGCAATGCACCGACCATGATGATGATATCATTTGTATATATAATGATTCATCATACCAAGTGATGATTCATTATGCATGTTCCATTACATCATGCATGCAAGCTCAGACCTACTCGCATCCTGTATTTAAAGCCTACCTTGCAGTCTCGAGGATTTCTTTCCTCCTGCAAGTTCAATATTCTTGCAATGCAGTCAGTTTACCACCAGAGGCTTGACCCTGGCCTTGAACGACGGCCCTCGTGACACCAGACAAGCGAGTGACCCACTCTCCACTACCCTACACACATTATCCTTAATTGCAAAACAACAGAACTATCAACCAACTACAATTACATCAGAAACGGCTGAATCAGATGCTTCTGCAACCTCCTGGCAAGTGCGGGCATTATGACCAGGCTTGCCGCATACACCACAGCACCGAACCTTCGTACAAGCCCCCCCTGTACTACCACCATCCGGCTGCATTTCTTGTGCCACCTCCCCAACTATAGCCTTTTGGTCTAGTAGATCCTTTGCATCTTCCACTGTAAGTGATCCTCTAAGCTATACACGCGTTCTTTTAGCTCTTCGGCGCTTGCTTAGTGCCTCGTTGGCCTTGCGGAGCGAAGCATTCTCTGCCTATAGGAGAGCCACCTGGTGTATTATAGCCATTGTACTCTTTGTCAGCTAGTCCACAGCAGCCAACATCGAAGTCGGGGAGCTATTTTGGTGGGTGGCAATACGAGTCTTGATGAGCGTTGACTGTGAGTTGGCTTCTCTGGTATTATATAGTGTTTGGAAGACCTAAGATTATACAGTGCCTGGCCGTAAAGTTAGGGGTGTTGGTATATGAAGCTTGATATCTAGCTTCGAAAGTACCCTCTTTGGATCGTATGGTATAAGGCCAGCCCCTGTAAAACCGCCCTAGATATTCCTCTTAGTGATAGAGGCAAAGAAGGCTGTACGAAAGGCATAAAGGAACTCGAGCTTGCTTATGTGGTTAATATACGCGTGTATTAAGTCCTCGATCTGGCGACCATACGCCTGCTTTAACGGCCCAAAGCAGCCAACATCGAGCGGCTGGAGGAGATAGGAGGAATGTAGAGGCATGCAGAGCGTGATAATGTTGTTCTGCTGGCAGTAGAGCTCGAACTCGGTCGAGTGGTGGCTTTCGTGGCCATCAAGGATTAACAACCGGTATTTACCCTTTATATAGGGTGCTGTATAGTAGTTGAAGTGCTTAATCCAATCTAGGCCTACTATATTGGTAGTCCAGCCGTTCTCGGTGGTTGCAATGCGCTAGTCGGCCGGGAGGTTGCACTCAGTATACTAGTTGGCAAGGTGGTATTGCGCGGCTAAGATGATAAATGGAGAGATAGCCCAGCCGAGAGCATTGACTCCTTGGATTACTATTGCCTACTTACGATTGCCAGGCTAGGCCAGCTTAGCCTTGCTCTGGCCATCTGAGGTCGTAACAACCATGCCTGCAAAGATAATGCCTATTATAAACCCGGTCTCGTCAAAGTTATAGATATCGTTATCTACGAGACTATACTTGGCCTTAGTGTTCTATATAAGCCTAAACCACTCGCGAATAATGTCTAGATCTTCATATCTAGCCCTTTGGTAGTTGTATCTACGTGTATATCGCGTACGGAGCTCTGGCCGGTGTTTGACGAAGTTGTAAGCCCAGCGTTTGCCAACAGGGGGCGCGTCGCGTTCGCGCAGTAGTTGGTTGGCCATATCTTCTATACCATACAACTTAGGCGGGAATATACGTGCAGATAGCTCATTGATATATTGAACTATCGCCTTCTCTTCTAGATCTATAAGGTTGCGCGAGTTGGCTGAAAGATTATATCGTGCAGGCTTGCCGGCGCATCGGCGCCCCAGGGTCCTACGGTCGACCCCATAAATCTTAGCTGCGGCTCGTTCACTTAGATTCTTGTCATTTTGAAGAGCTTAGAGAGCCAATATTATCTGGCCTTCTTTTGAAGTAGAGGGCATTTTGGATGATAGAGAAAATTTTGTTGTTGAGTGCAAAGATATCGCGTCATGTAGGAAGTGGGTCACTTGCTTGTCTGGGTTACTCGCTTATCATGTACGTTACACTAAAAGAATGTATAATTACACACATATACACATATACCCTCACACACAATTTTATTCCGTCCGGCGGGGTTAACCCGAAAGGGCAACTAATACTAATTAACGTACATTATCAGCGAGCGGGACATATCAGCGAGCGGGACACTAAGTTCTTGGCACAACGCGTCCTTCCTCATCTACCTCTAACAACGCGTTTTTCCTACAACTAAAGATGTCTTCCACTTCAAAGGAAGCTAGGGTAACCTTGGCCTTCAAAGCTCTTGAAAATGATATAGAACTAAGCCTTCGAGCCGCGGCCAAACTCTATAACGTGCCAGTTTCAACCCTCGGCTACCGACGTACCGGCCGGCCTATACAACGCGATCTTCCAGCCAATTCGAAGAAGCTTACCCAATCTGAAGAGGAGGCTATTGTTCAATATATTATTGAGCTATCTATACGAGCTTTTCTGCCGAGACTACGTGGTGTAGAAGATATGGCCAACCAACTGCTACGCGTACGCGACGCGCCCCCTGTCGGCAAGCTCTGGGTGTATCGGTTTGTCAAACGCCAGCCAGAGCTCCGTACGCGTTATTCGCGAAGATACGATTACCAGAGGGCAAAGTGCGAGGATCCGAAGGTCATTGGCGAGTGGTTTGCCCTTGTACGGAATGTTAAGGCTAAGTATAGTATCGTAGATGACGATATCTATAACTTCGACGAGACTGGGTTTATAATGGGCATTATCTTCCCGGGCATAGTGGTTATAACCTCGGATGGCCGTGGCAAGGCGAAGCTAGCCCAGCCTGGCAACCGTAAATGGGCGACGGTGATCCAAGGCGTTAATGCCCTTGGCTGGGCTATCCCTCCGTTCATCATCTTAGCAGCGCAGTTCTACCTCGCCAACTAGTATACTGAGTGCAACCTCCTAGCCGACTGGCGCATTGCAACTACCGAGAATGGCTGGACTACCAATGCGGTAGGCCTTGATTGGATCAAGCACTTCGACTACCATATAGCGCCTCGGACAAAGGGCAAATACCGGTTGTTGATCTTCGATGGCCACGAAAGCCACCACTCAACCGAGTTCGAGCTCTACTGCCAGCGGAACAACATTATCACGCTCTGCATGCCTCTATATTCCTCCCACCTCCTCCAGCCACTCGATGTTGGCTGCTTTGGGCCGTTGAAGCAGGCGTACGGTCGCCAGATCGAGGACTTGATGCGCGCATATATCAACCATATAAGCAAGCTCGAGTTTCTTTGTACCTTTCGCGCGGCCTTCTTTGCCTCTATCACCAAGAGGAATATCCAGGGCGGTTTTGCAGGGGCTGGCCTTGTGCCGTACGATCCAGAGAGGGTACTTTCGAAGCTAGATATCAAGCTTCGTACACCAACACCCCCAACCTCACGGCCAGGCACTGTACAATCTTGGGTCTTCCAGATACCACACAACCCCCGAGAAGCCAACTCATAGTCAACGCTCATCAAGACTCGCATTGCCAACCATCAAAATAGCTCCCCGACTTCGATGTTGGCTGCTATGGACCAGCTTACCAAGGGTACAATAGCTATAATGCACCAGGTGGCCCTCCTTCAGGCAGAGGTGTCTTCGCTCTGCAAGGCCAACGAGGCGCTAAGCAAGCGCCGGAGAGCCAAAAAAACACGTGTACGGCTTGGAGGATCACTTACTGTGCAGGAGGCACAGGAGGTGGTAGGCCAGGGGGCTATAGGTGGGGAGGCAATGCAAGAAACACAGCTGGATGGTAGTGGTGCTGGGGGGGGTCGTACGAAGGTTCGGTGCTATGGTGTATGCGGCAAGCCTGGTCATAATGCCCGCACTTGCCAGGAGGGTGCAGAAGGGTCTGATTCATCTGTTTCTGATGTAATTGTAGTTGGTTCTTAGTGTTGTTGCATTGCAATTGAGAGTAGTTGTTATAGAGTAGTGGAGAGTGTCCCGCTCGCTGATATGTCCCGCTCGCTGATATGTCCCGCTCGCTGATAATGTACGTTAACCGTATATTTCGCAAGATAACGTTATGTCCTGATCTCCTTATAGCCTATGTAGTAATCATTCTAGCTTATGCTCTCTCTTTTGTCATTTCTCTATAGGTTCTCGTGGGTTAGTAGGATTGTTAGTAGGCTGGCTTGAAGGCAATTCTCCAACTGTTCAACGTCCTATTCTCGGCGGCTAAAGCAGTGCCTGCTGTCTATAGCACGAGGTGATGAGTGCAGGTTCGGTGGAAAGTAGTGGATGGTTGGTAGGGTGATTTAGTCAGCCTATAGTTGATTCGCGTCAAGTTGGCCCGTGGCTATTGTGAACTATATTGTTGCCTAAATGGCCTATAGGTTTAGAGTCTAGTCGCTATTATCTAACAGTGATTTCCTGCTAAGATAGAATGAAATATTACTTCTATAGATATCTGTCACAGCAGGTTGCTCCTCGGTGTGGCCGAGTGGAGCATGTGCTATGGCGCGCCTGCATGAACGCGTATATGAACCACAGAGTCGCAAGGTTGGGGGACTTGCGATATCGGCATCCTTTTGGAAGGTGCGAGTTAGCCGAGTGGTTCAGGTAGCTC